GATTTGAGGTAAATGTGGAAGGATATGTAGGTTTGGGCTTAGAAGAGGAAAGGCATTGAGCTCAGAATTAGGAATGAACTAAAAGCTCATTTTAGCATGAGATATGCATATATGGCTCTTCGCACAAACCACATCTTGCAGTTGGCCCACATGCACTTATAGGAGGTCATAATTTTAGCTAGATAAGACAAGGCTTTGTAGGCCAACCTGAGAGATTCGAGCTGTAGGCGATAAGGAGCCCTTGAAGATTATGAATGAAGGAATGACATGACGAAAATAGGATTATGGGAAAATAATCCTTTGGAATCGGCCAGGATGAATCGAAAAGAAGGAAAGTCAAGAGGCAGAGGCAGCAAGAGCAGTTAGGCCATTCAAGGATTTCAGACTGCAGCGATGAAAACTAGAAGGGGTGTCATTAGAACAGAAAGGAAGAGACAATTTGTTGTAAACTTATATATTAAATAATTGATTATTTGTATAATGCTTGTTTTTAAAAGGAATTTAGTTTAATTAAAACAAATCAGAAACATTACCCATTTTCTTTTAAATGTATCTTTGTGATACGTTCAGCCATTGTAATTTGTATATACTTCTTTTAAAACTTTCAGTTGCTTGTCAAGAATTTTTGGCGAAAAAGAGACTTGATATTTCTCTTTCTTAGTACATCTTCACGGTTCTGAGGCAGAACATCCTTTTTATAACACATTTTACATTGTATCTCTCTACATGATTTCAAAATGACTTGAAAAGTCACAGAAGCCACAAAGCTTGTAGTTCTGGCCGTAAAAAAAATCAAGAGTCTCTTTTGTGAGTTGAACTTTCTACTCATAGTTCTGGGAGGTTCACAGTTCAGCGTGACTGGATGTCATTCATGTAATAAACCACATGGCTGATGGCAATGTCGCAGATAAGCATAATAGACTTTGTTCGGTACTAATGACCAGCAAAGAAGCAGAGAGGTCTTCAGCCTCGGTAAGGTTTCACTCACTCCAAAGCAGACGACAGTGTCAACGATACTGGACAAGCCAATGCACAGGTGAGGCCCAAGTGAATATGTATTTTCTGAAAAGTTAGGGGAGTCCTTTCTTTAAAATGTGGCATAATTTTAATTTTATACTATAGCTATACCGTTTTGGTAGCTACATTTTAATGCCCCAATTTCTAAGAAATCACACATTCACTTAAATGGGCAATCAAGGCAAGATACCTTTCCTAAATCTTAAATTGAAAATTAAATTTTCTGCTTCTTATTTGCTTTAGTTACTACATGTTATTTTGAATAAATCAATTCATTTTACTTTTTTCAGGCATTATGAAAATCCTCCGTTTCAGAGTTATCACCACAGTTATAGGTCTTTATTTTACTGGAACGATGACAAATCCATCAAGAAAAAGCAGCATTTTATTCAATTCTGAGTGCCAATGGAGAGAGTATCTTCTGACAAATTGTTCTTTTACCAGAAAGCATGATATACCTGTGGACCTATCCCAGACGGCAGCCACAGTGGATATAAGTCTCAGCTTCTTTAGAGTTCTCTTGCAGTCTCACACGAAGAAAGAATGGAAAATAAAACATCTGGACCTCAGTAACAATCTCATATCGAAAATAACCCTAAGCCCGCTCGCATATTTGCGCACTTTGGAAGTGTTAAATCTCAGCAACAATGCCATCCGCTCTGTCTCATTTGATCCGCCCGGGCCTAAGTCCTCATGGGTGAAACACCACAGAAGCAGCTTCACAAATGGGCTTCCGTCCCTAAAGGTGCTAATTCTGCAAAGAAATAAACTCAGCGACGCTCCCAAGGGTGAGTACAATTTTAAAAGATGTACTATAACGAGAAACAGCGTGTGAAGAGTTCATGTTTTATGTCCATAAGAATTCCATGTTTGTTTTCAGATTCAAGGAAACAGATGACAGTGAAGATATTTGATCAGAGCAAATATAACAAAATGAGTTTCTTAGTGGAATTGGAAATTACAGTGTGTGCTTCGAATTTATAATCGAAGCAATTTAACCTCCCATCAGTATAATTTACATTAACGTTATA